TTCTACAATACTAACAGTAACACGATACATGTATGTACGGCCTTGCTGATCGAGCTAAAAGCATAGTCCACGCATAATTTCATTTATTTACTGTAAACGAAAGAAACGATGACAATTAATTCTATATCGACCACAGACGGTAGGAAACAAGCAACCGTCTTCCGTCAGTGATATCGCATTTTTGCCTCACAGATATCAGTATGATGCGGGATAACGGTTAATTCAACTTACTACATTAAAATTATGACAAGAAAATTGACTTTGAAAATCCGGTTAGTTTTACTGCCCTGAAGTCGCTTTGGGTGCCTTTAAACTAACCTTTCCACCCCGTGCGGACTTTCGACTTCGTTCCCGGTTATAAGTTATTAACCTCCCGTGTAACGCAGTGAAATGAATGGATTCTTTATCACGACGCGCTCCAGATATGAACCTCCCGGCAGCGGCGCACCGTTTGAGCCCGGGTGGCGTATTTACAGGAGGCGATATCGATCAACCTCGTCAGGAAAAATCTCTGCGCTCGCGAAGCCTGTTAAAAGGGTGTCAAGAGAGGTGGGGTCATGAGAGAGCACGGATACTGTAGCCTCGCTCTGCCAGGCTTCGTGAAGCGGCGGGAAAGAGTAGAAATTGGCCAGAAAGACAGATAACGTACCAGGGGAGTTAGCTAGTCCGCGCTGAGAGAACATTTTGCCTCAGAGTAAACGAAATCCCCTGGCATTTCTGCTCTTTCCAGTCGCTTCCCGAAGCCTGGTGGAGGCTATGGATACCGCGGTGCCCCTCGCCTTTTTGAACGACGTTTGCTTGTGACTGCATACCACATTACGTGGACAGTTGGCACGTAATACACTATGTTCTTTCTCTTTAACAAGGTTGCTTCTGTTTTGTGGAAAAGACATTACGCAACATCTTATCATAAGAACTAGTTTAATGGTAAACATTAACCATCCACGTTTAAATCTGACATGTTTGTAGCGAGTATTCGAACTGTGACATATAACAGGGCTGGAAATATCACCTGTATATGTATATGTATATGTATATGTATATGTATATGTATATGTATATGTATATGTATATGTATATGTATATGTATATGTATATGTATATGTATATGTATATGTATATGTATGTAAAATTGGCTGTGCAGGTACTAGTATTTCTGATGTCAACCTGCACCTGTCTATGTACCGGATCTATATACAGGAAATGAAAATAATGGCAATGGTTTCTGAACAGTTTTTTTAGTATTATCCATACTTTCAGTAGTGCAGGTAAATTTTGTCTGGTGCAGGTAATTTCCAATGCTACATGCACTAATGTAGGTATGCAGAAAAAATTGTCGATTATGTACTCAAATACTATTTATAATAAAGCAACATTGATATTGAGACATAACTAAACAGATAAAGACTAAAAAGTAAAGTTATCTCTGTCAAAAAAGAATGCTACCAGACAGTGACCGTAAAGAACGCAGCCATGCTGCCGTACGTGTAAATTTGCCACCGGAGCACTTTCTATTAAAAGATGTGCATGATATGATCTTTACCCTGAAAAAATAGTTGTCTGTCTGGCAGGCATTGTTCCGAAATATCAAAAGGGCAAAGGCTAATGCCCTCCGTATCAGCAGGGCTGGAAAGAACGTGCGTCACGTGACTGTAAATCAGCGTTGTGATTGGCTCGTTTGTACTCTCTGACAGCACTTTGACAGAAGTTTCTGCGCCACGGTTTTTGTTGGATGTTTGGTATACGTTGCATTACATTGCCCGATGCATACGATATCATTTCCGACACAGCACTTGAAAACTTTTGACGGGATGTCACCCTTACATGACATACGCGGATACGACGTTCTGCCGACAGATGCTATGCACAATACATTACGGGGTTCGCGCATTCTAGCTACAAAATTCACAACAAAGAACATGTCGTATGCGTCATACGCCACAGGTTTACGACAGCAGAATGAAGGAACCCTTGTCGTAGGACAGTCGCGAATGTGTCGTGCGACAGTCAGCTGTCTTTTGATGACGGGAAAATGTTGTCATTAATCCCTGTCGACGTCGGTTCAGTCGTAGTCAAAAGACAGTACGAGGCTGCTGAAAAATCGCACGACCGATGTGACTGCGATATAAGCGCTACAATACATATGCACGTTACATACTTACATAAAACTAGCATAAACTACTAGCCCAAAAACGTACATAACGCTGAGTAATGGGGTTTTAGGCGACAGTACTACAGTATCTCAAAATATCTCGAACAAATGGTTGCTACGATTACGAGGCTGAAAGGTGACTTTGCGTAAAGGTGACTTGTATGTCAGACTACACAAATACAGACTCAGTGTAATTATTACACCGTCAACGTGCAAACACATCGAGCTAGAACAAAAATGGCATTCGTGTGTACATGACACGTGAGCTCAGAAATGTGTGCAACTGCCATGGTGTATATGTTTTAAATAGAACGCCAAGGGCGGTAAATTTGGTCCATCAAAAACAGACATAATGAAGTGTGTAATATGACAACTGACAGTCAACCCTGGCTTGTCTTCAAACAATGCAGCCGACAGCAGCGTTCTCAGCATGGGTTCTCTTCAAGCCCGTACAACAAGTCTCAGTCGGTATTTGCCCCAAGGCTCGTCTCTTATTGAAATTTCCACAATACCCAACAAACATGTCTTCGCTTTTACCGGATTTCTTCATCTTTCTGAACCTCAACTCTTCACAGTTCTTTGCAATTTCACACAGTCTCTTTCCTTGCCGTTACTCGAAGCTACAGTTGATCATGAATGTACATGTACTTTTACGATTGAATAGACAACCACTTGTGCCATCCTTGTGCCTACATTTTTGTTAGGTTGTTCACCTTGGCCCAGAGACAATCGAACAAAGCGACTGTCACTACTGACACACGAGCTCGTGTTTATGTGGTTCTGGCGTGCCAGAAACACGACGAACAAGACGTCAATGATCTCATACCTCCGTCAAATATTTGAAGTCATTTTGAATTTCTTGCTTCATTCATAATTATGAATTTCTGGATGATTAATCTGTAATTTTGCAACTGGCTCTCATAAGGCAAAAGATATGCATATAGCAGGAAACTGAAGACAGGAAATGAGATAACCTTTGCTGGACCTTTCTTGGACCTTTGACCTAACCTTTGGTCAGCGTATCCGAATTCCTAGATTGTGAATAACTACAGAACACACAAGCAAAAATGCAAAACGCAATCGTAAGAATCGTGAATAAGGTGACGGACTGTAGTCTAATGTTCAACCCGCCTGTGCGCACGTAATTATGACGCTAGTATTAATTAACCACAAGTTCCTTTAAGCAAATACATATTTTAAACATGTCTTAGAATTTACTCTAATTAGGATCTCTACTGTACGAGTCATCGTTTGTACCAGATCGGAGTCTCTACCCTGACATATGCCTTCACGTCTGACTATTTCCCTGTAATAATCACCCCCCCCCACCTGTTATCTGTGAATGATAACAAATAAGATTAAACAAATACTAGTACCCCCTGGAGTTACGTTTAGAGTGTATATATGTACACAAAAGGTAGCTTCATATTACACGTTGGGCATATAATATTTGGCTTACTATGCAAGTTCTAATTTGACCGAAGTTTGAAGAAGCAATATCTCACGGCCGACGTTTGGTCAAGACTATTTGCATGACTTATAGTCCCTTTTCAGGTACCGCCAGCTATGAACATATGGACTTTGAGCTAAGAGACAGATTATATTTATCTCTGTTTGGCCTAAAACGTGGCACACAATACTGATAGTGTCTCTCTGTGTTATCACATATATGCTTTAGGACATGACAGCAGCGTCAAACAGTGAAATCTGTCCTATAGAACACTAACAGTGCATCTGTGCTATGGTACATTTGACTTAGTTCGGTTCAAGTTCTACTGGACACCAAGAGAAAGATTGACAGGTTGAAAGGCAGTGTATGAAGTGTTGGGCTTTTGTAAATATGTTGTGTATCATTAGTGCAGAACTTGATCATATTTGAAAAGACATGTTTTGCACATTTACATTAATAAGCAAATGCGAATTCTTTCGAAAATACATTGTGAGCTAGAAACGGCATTCTAGTCGGAGTCTTTTCTTTTTCTTTCACACAAGGTCTGGCTACATAGCCTAAAATCTTATTTTCTTATGTCCCCTTTTCAAATCGTTTATCCTGTTATATTGATAGGATTGTTCCATTAAGGAACTTGTAGGGGTAGGCAGGACAGTTTTCTTTAATGCAAAGCACCAGAGCTCGAGAAAAATGTCTTTACTATAATCGAATTCAACATTTTAAAAGGAGGCAATGTTTAGGTAGCACAGAAAGAGGCAAATCTGTCGGAGGACATTTCTGTTTTTGTGTAGCCGGGTTTTTGGAATGATGTGTGATGATGCTGTGTCATTCTAATGAAACGATGGAGAGTTCTCAGGACTGATGAAACATCGCCCTCTAGCAGATTCCGCACTAACTGCCCCGCTGCGGGAGTTCATAGGGCCATGGCCTATCCAAATATCATGATACTAGTAACTTGTACGGTAAAACATAAAAGCCTTTAGTTTGTAGAGACATCTATGTCATCTCCGTAATTTCTGGCGGGATTTCTAGCCACATTTTGCGCAATTGAACCATAAATTTCGCGCAATGCGTATTCGATGCTACTGAATAGTGTAAAGTTCTCCTAAATATTTTACTTAATTTACATCAACTAAGATGCCATCTAATATAGCATGACTATTCCCGGTAAGGCCTGTATACACCACACACCACACACACACACACACACACACACACACACACCACACACACACACACACACACACCACACGTGCACACACACACACGGCGCACAGAGCGTAGCGATGCCTCATAATTAACATCAAGTGTGGGCTCCTGATTGATTAATCGGTGTAATAGCACTTCATATGTCCGGTGCCATTTTTCTTGACGTTTTTTGATACAGCCCAAAAAAACTTAATGAAAGTTGTTGATGAAGTTCCGCTGTATCTTGCGTTTGGCCAGTGCCTTGCGGTAGATCTCGTTGCGGAAGGCGTACACAATGGAATCTGAGAACGTGGAGGTCTGCAGCATGACGTAGCAGATGTCTCCGTAGAAGGCTCCCGTGGCGACCGTGACGGCCCCAGCCTTACTGAGAATCCCGACAACGAGTATCGGCACCCACGTTATCCACTGCAGCAGCACCACGATCCCCAGCGTCTTCACAGCCTTGACTTTGACTTCGAACATGTCAGCCTGAGCGAGCCAGGCCTCCTTGGTGCTGTCGGACTGCTGCTTGCTTCTGGCCACCTTGTAGATGAGGCTTGCGAAGCAGCAGCTGGCCACCACGCCCAGCAGGCAGAGCATCACGGCGGCAAGGCTCTCCGGCCCGCCGAAGGTGCACGGCATCAGCAGGCTCGCTGGCTCGGCGATGTCGACCGAAGCGATGTCCACCGACCAGGTCACGATCTTCCCGACTCGAGCAAGCCCGACCAGCGGTGGCGTCAGGGCGACCAGAAAGCACGTGACGATGGCAACGGCAAGACGAGCGGGTGTGAGCATGGAGTGGAACTCCAGCGGCCAGACTATGTGGACATACCTGCAGATCCACAGGCTTAGCAGCAACAGGGTGGAGAGAACGGACAGGAAAGGGACAAAGAAGGCTTGGGTCCTGCACCAAAGACCGCCGGGGGACTCACCGTGCACCAAACTGTAGATGGCGTTTGGCGAGTACATCAGCGACTGCGCAATGTCGGTGAAGGCCAGGGCACACAGGAAAATGTTTCCCGGTTCCTAGAAGCAACAAGAAAGAAACGTTCTTTGTTCTACTTCCTTGGATTCCTAGAATCTCCAGATGAGGATTATATTACCTGGATGTCTAACCTTTACCGACGGATTATGATGATGTTTTGTCATATTTCATGCAAATGAATAATTATAAAAAATCACTGACCTGCATGTTTTCGTCGGTGAGGATGATCCCAATGAGGCAGCTGTTGCCGAAAATCGCCCAGAGGGTGATGCACACGAGGATGACGATGAGCAGAGGCTGCAGTGCCGGGTTGCTGCCGTAAACTCCACAAGCCGCCGGGTCATAGCTGGCAACAGTCGTGGTCACGTGACCTGATGACGTCAGGTTGCTGAAGACGACTTCACAAAGACCAGCATCCTGCGCGGCTCGGAGTAATCTCGTGACACCTTCTTCTGCTGTGTCATTGGTCAGATTTTTGGCCAGGTCAAAGGTCACGTTCAAGGGGTTTGTAATGATGAGTTCTGTGACGTTTGACACATTTCTGTACACATCACCGGTAATAGAGCTCACGTTTGTGCCAGCTCCTGCTGAAATGCTCGTGGCGTTCATTTTTAAACGTCCTTCATAGGCAGGGCCTGCCGAAATGAAACAAATCATTCTTAACGATACTACAAAAAGAAAAACATACGACAGCTCAGAAAGTGTATCATATCAAAGGCATATCCACACTGTAATCAGAGTGTATCTGATCGGCTGAGGCTGGCCAGAGCTACATGTAATGCAGTCCGTTGGTGAATGAGGGACGGCGATTGATATCCGAATACAGGTAACTTCTGAACAGTACTCCACCAACACATTGACGCACTTGTCTTCGCTAAGAAGAGTTAATCGCTGTATCAAATCTACCAATATGATAATTGACAGGTTCTAAAATCGATCTAAGCAGACCTCTGTTGATGCGCGATGGGGGGGGGGCGTTTGTCATCAAATGAACCAGGGGACTGTATTAAAGGTGAAGAACTGGGCTAGTACAACGTGGCGTTAGCTAATGAGATCCAATTAATGTTTGAAAGGCTATAGCGCGTTCGCACGAAATATCTACACACGACAATCCTGAAGATTTTGGCTAACACGAAAAAGTCTAAGCATTATGTAGGTCTGAGGCCTTTTTGTTGCACTATAGACAGCTTCTTACGTACGCCGATGCAGCGGGGTCAAATCGTGAACCGGCAAATGCAGTATCTCAGGGAGTAACGCGTTCTACGGTGGCCTGTGGTTGGACTGCTAATTTCCGCCTTCAGTACAAGCCAATTACACATGGACACACGCATCTTCGCTGATAAATACAACATTGGTCCGTCCGATCTACTGTGATTGACAGCTTTTAAGATCGCACTTATTACTGCCAGCGGTTTCCGCTAGTCTAAGACATCGTAAACATGATTTTGTACTGGAGGCGCACCTCCGTATGTGGTGGAACACAATTATAACGTATGGAGTGGACACTCTCTAATCAGAGGTTTTGGCTCCGGCTTATTTTTGACGTGTATTAGGCGTTTTTATCAGGCGTTCAGAAAATCTGCTTCAGATTATGGGGTGGATACAAATTTCACCCCCAAACTTATGATTGAAAAATGGAGCAACACTGTAATCTTAAACGGTGAAAGTATTTGTAATCATGTCTTGACATTAGGATGGGAAGCACCCACGCACCTCAAATTTCCTTCGAATGCGGTGCTGATACTATAGGGAGATTGAATGTAATTTTTAACCGCAAATTCTTTTTCGCCTAAAAGCCAATATATATAACATATTTAATGGTGTTTATCATTGCAGCTAATTAACAAATATGTACATATCTTCAATGGCATATGACGGTGACTATCATTGCGCTACACTACAAAAAAATATATACATATTTGGATGAACATTCTACAAAATCTCACTACATACATTTGTGGAAACTATTCCGAAAAAAATAGAAAATACAGAATCAACAATAGACAATATTGTATTTTTAGATTGAGGAAAAAGGCCTCTGTGATGATTAGCCGAAAGATAGCGTTGATCTGAAATATAGGCAGTGCACTACTAAAAAACAATTATGTTTCTATGTGCAAAAATACATCAATTGCGTCATAGATTGTGTTACTTTATAGATATAGTATAGAGCCTGGTAAAAGTTGAATGTCGATCGAGGTGATTACTAATACGTACAGCATACCATATTGGTTGGCTCATAACTATAACTTGCAAGGTATTAAATCATGTTTAAACCTGCAGTCTATTCAAAACTATTGGAAACCTTCCACCGTATGCCGTTATATAATGATACCTATACCAGTAACGGTCTTTGGTCAGAAACCACATGCGACCATTTGTATTAACATAGGGCACTTCCTAACGAAATACAAGGTTTTTATAGTCATTAATCAATTAGTACATAGCTGTTAATTAAGTAATGAAGTACATTTTCTTACCGGTAGAGACGAGGCATAGAAGTGAGATGTGAAGATGCGGCAGCCACCGTCGATAGAGAACTCTCATAAGTAGCAAGCAACCTGTAGCCTCATTTAGCATACGTGATTGACAGCAAGTAGACCGCGAATGGCGGGAATTCATTGCATGACGTCATATTCAAGTAGGTGTGACCATATCATGAAAGGTAGATAATCTCCTAACTGTAGGCTGGGCTCGATTCCGTGATCAGAATCTTAATGATTTTTAGTCTTTACTTTGTTGTATAAATTCGGGGGGATTCATTCCTCAAGCTAACCGACATCTCGCAGACGCAGTCGTCCCTCAGTAAGACACCTGGAGCCACATGGTTCCCGTTTAGAACTTTTATTCCGCCAGTCACACTGATTCTTAACTTTGTTACTAGTCTAGTCTAAGATTTTTTTATTCATCTGTTTCTATTTATTTTATTTTAAATCCCCATGAGTTAACGAAAAACTACACACCCAGCACTCTCATAAGATTTGAATTTCCTATTTGTTCCTCCAAAATGGCCTCAAACCTTATTCCTTCCATATTCTTATACACACAATTAACCTCTGGCAGCGAGAGATTGTGTAACGCAGGTAAATGCTTCTGTCTAGACATACAGTCTGAACTTCCTTATTTGCATATATCCAATGTTAATCTTAAAAGAGGTCTCAAGAGTTTAAAAGGAAATGAAACAAGAAGCCATAGGCGACAATTCTCCGTGAAGTTTTATATATTTCAACAAAATCCCAAGCGTCAACGCCAGACCTACTGTGCAGACATTATAATTAGGCAACGGTTAATACCACGCTCGTCCCCAGCGCCCGTGGAGAAGCCATAGGTTATAGATCGTGGCTTAGCCCAGGCTATGGAAAATAAACTTTCTTTAATGCAAATCTGTCGTTTTTGTTTTCTTTGCGCTATCTAAAGGGTTAGGATAACCTACTCTACTCTGGCGGTATTGTCGTGCGCGCTCGCTAGTACGTAACGTTACACGGCGGCCATCTGAATACATGTACACTGCATTCTTTCTACTATCGGGACCTAAAACAAGACGCAAGATTCCTATTTTGGGGTATAAAATGCTGTCACAATGGTAATATATACCAAATGAAACGGACCTTTACAAAGTACCTCATTTGGTGACGCTATGAGGGTGTACCGTTATCCCTCTACATTTGCCCAGAAGGGAGTTAGTCGCGGAAGGAACTTAGCCACGGAGGGAGTTTTGGCATTCTCCGCCCGCGCCACAAACTCTCGTCCCCAGGACAGTTCACTCTGCTACCCAGCATGCTTTGCGCAAAATGCGTTCTCGGCCCCAGGACACAAATACACGCTTAATGCTTCCGCACTGTGTTGCTCTGGGGACCCCGCCGCGCGCCCAGATGTGGATTTAATTATAGCGCGCTAGCGGACGCTGCGGAGGAGCGTGGGTTAATACAATGAGGGCGCGTCACAAGCATAAAACATACAAAGAGCTAAATCCATTACTGCTCCCAGGGCGTGTAAAGATACTGTGCTTCAAGTTCTAACTTCATTTTAATTACACACACACAATCATTGCATTCACATAAAGATCGGACTATCATGGTCGTGTCTAGTAACAAAGACAGCCCCACCGTCTTACGGTGCCTGTACCTAATTAAGCGCGCCTGGAACAAGCCAAATTCCAGCAACAGTGGCGGTAAGCACCGCGAGTGTTACTACCGCCGGCCAGATAACCAGGATATCTGCTTACAGTACCTCTGCTACCAGACAACTGCCTAAACCTACGGTCTATTCCACAGGATTGTAAAAGTAGGGATGTTTCGAAAATAACCATTTACTCCAATATCAAAACAGCTACGGTAAAAATAAAAAGACGTGCATCATCCCGGACATAATGCAACACCACATGCGAAATTACACAGATATGCGACGTACGGCAGAATGCGTTTTGGCTGCGAACATCTTCCAAAAAACTTGGCATCTCTTAACCATGGGCAAAAACATCTGGAACCACTTATCAAAACCACCCCGTATCTGCATGAACTTTTACCTCCCCCCCCGCTATTCCAAACAACGCGTTTTTCTGGACCATTCCAATTCGCCTCGTAATTGTAGGGGTGCGTCTGCGATATTACATTGACCGCGAAAGCAGCAACGGCAAAAATACACATTCGTGCATCAACACGGGCATGCCCGCAGACGGCGTATAAAATTGCGTGCCGATTACACGAAGAGAACCCAGTGTTTTGACTGCGAACATGAAAAATCAGCCGATTACAACACTCCGTCCGGAGGTCCTGACCTCCTTCACGGAGTAATAAAATACATATCGTGTCATACATGTAGTCATAGCACAAGCGAGGTAGATTGCTTTTAGCGTTAAGCGAGGGTCACAACCCGCCGTTCGTGTTTTTGTCCGTGCGTTTTTTGCGTCTGCCACATTTTTTTGAAAGTGAAAACGCCTCACTATTTAAATCAGAGTAATGGACCGGGCGGGTGGATGTTGTAGCGGACTTGTCAACTTTATTAGCAGCAGATCTGACTTCATACAATCAGAGCTCAAACACCTAAATATGACCTAAACTAGATGTCTGTCACTATATGGTAACTACTGTTGGGTTACATCATGTTGCAATTTTATAGCAGGAGGGCTTTAGACTCCTGTCACAATATACATTTGTATATGAATGTGTTTATGTAAGAATTAACAGAGCAAACCATATGCGAAGGTAAACAATATGCATTTGCTTTGCAAATGTTACCTTTCTAGTTCCCGTTTTATATTTGCTTGTGTCCCAATATCTAATCTGTAGTAGGAAGCAATAAAGTACACATGTATATACATACATACGCATGTATATACAGACATGCTACATACAATCCTGAATCATTTTGTAAGACATACTCTAAAATATTACATCACATATTGCACATCTATATGCCTGAGAAATTACCAACATGATTATTACACCTACCCCAAAATTTGTCCAATCCAAATATTCATCAAGATAGGTCTTTTCAAAAATATTATCAATAAACTACAACTTAATGTTTACCTTCGCGGAAGGAAACATCGCTTTTGCTCTGTTTCTTCTTTTCTTTTTCTCCAAACAAATATTTAGTAAGGTCAATAACCTGGACCAGACGTCTGTCAGCATGGTAACTGTGGCTGTACCAGACTCCTGTAGTGCTGGGTTACATTATGTAGAAAGTGAAAGGTCAGAGTTGGAGGGTCTGGCCACGATATTTATGAATGTGTTTCAATAAGAATAAACTCTTTGTTATTATATAGCTGGTATATAACCACCTTCCGCGGCGTAACACACCAGCTTCACAAATGGCACTTTTCTTTTTTCACTGGCCATAAAAATCATGAAGCCCTTTTCACTGATGTCTGTGACCCTTCTAATTTCCATTTAGCATTGTTTTTAACTATTGGAGTTTATGATTTTAAATAAAATTCCTCTTTTCCAAAAATTACATTGTGTATTGTCTATGCCCCTCTGCGGTGTTATACTGTATCCACGTCTTGTCTATTTGCCCTAATATGGGCATGGACGGCAAATGCCGTCAGCGACGTTACCATGGCAACGCCGAGGACGCTGGACAGCTTGAGGAAGCCCTGGTACTTTTGCCAGATGTCGAAGAGTTGGACTCGCGCCAAAGCCAGCGTGCAGGGAATGAAGGCCTCCGAGTTTCTCGACTCGCGACAGCGGCTATAGAACTCCGACATCAGGGTAACATTGTTCGCCTTATGTATCGGATCGATTCCTATTTTTAAAAGTGTCAAATTTTCGATTTCTACGCCCTCTCCCACGAGGTAGGCCAGGTTGTACAGCCCCTGGGGGTCTTGCTGTACCGCTGCCTTCGCGTACATTTTCACGGCTGAGGACACGTCGCGTTTGCCGCCGCAGCCGTACCAGTGGAAGTCACCCATCTTGATCTGCGCGTACGAGCTTGGCCACTCGGCTAGCGTGGACAGGTTGTAGTACTTCCACTTACAGTCCTTCTCGATGAAACTTTCGGCTAGCCCCTCGGGGTTCTCCTCGCAGAGGTACGCCATGTTGAATTCTCCCTGTTCCAACCCGGCCTCCGCCGCAAGGAGGTAGAACAGCAGCGATTTAGACCAGTTCTTTTGCCGGAAAGCCAGGAGACCGTTGCGCAAAGTCTTGCCGAGTTCCGGGCTCATTTCAGCGATGAAGCGGGACCATATGGCGCCGTTGTACGCGTTTCGCTCTTGCAGACCGTACCCGTTATAGAACATCATGGAGGACTGGATGGACCCCTCGATGTGCCCTCGTTGCGCAGACCGCCAGTAACACTCGAACGCCTTGGCCCTGTCGGGTTTTTTCAGACCCGGGTAGGCTCCGGACCAGTACAGGTGGCCTAGGTTATGCGGCGCGTCGTGGTTCCCCTTCTGGTCCGCCTGGTGGAAGTAGTGCGCCGCTTTCGTGGCGTTGCCCTCGTGGTTGAGCGCGTACCAGCCTAGAGCGTTGATCGCCGCGGGACTTCCTAGTTCCGCAGACTTGTTCAGCGTGTTCATGGCCTTCTTTACGTCTTTCTTTACGCCTTGCCCCTTCAACATGACGATACCGTAGTCGTACAGAGCCTCTGGGTTCTTGGGTTCCTGCTGCGCGTGCATTTCGTAATACCTGAAGGCCGCCTGGAGGTTTCGCTTGATGCCTTGTTGTCCCCAGAACAGCATACGGGCCATGGCGGCCTGCGCGTCGGTCACTCCCTTCTTAGCCTGGAACTTCAGCCACAGGAAGAGGTCGTCGTTCTCGTTGGTGATCTCCTTCATCGCGTTGGTGTCCGTGAGGCGGATGGTCTCGGTGTAGACGTCGTCCTCGACGTGCTCGTCGCGGTCCCTCTGGGTCTGGTCGGCGATGTTCTTGTAGTAGATGTAGGCGATGTCGTCGTCGATCGGATAGCCGTCGTACCCGAAGTGGTGCTTGTGCGCGATGGACATCAGACCGAGCTTCCCGCTGAGCTGGGCGGCGAGGAGTCCGTACCGCCAGGCCCGGACCTGGTCGGCCTTGACGCCGGCGCCGTTGGTGTACAGCACCGACAACAGGTACGCTGCCTTTCCGCCACGCAGGCACGCCGACTGCTGCAGCATGGGAATCGAACCCACGACCCCTCGCAGTCCCTCCACGTCTACGGTATCGATGGCTTTCTGGTACAGGTCATCGGACAAGTCCTTGTCGTTCAGACTGCGGATACGCGCATACTTTGCGACCTGTTTTCTGATGAGTGCGTTCGTCGCTGCGTATCGCGGTTGAGATGGTTCTGTATAGACTGGGCAAGTTAAACCTGGGTCCACATACCCACGCCGATACCTCTGCATCATTTCCGCATAAAAACTCAAACAAACTCTCCTCCTTAACACTTCTTCTTTCAGAATTCTGTAATGCCGTAGTTTGATGTCGGTGTAGCTTTTAAAAACTTCGCAGTTTTTGTACTCCTGCGGCAACTCGATCGCAAACATGGGGTCGGTGGCGGGAGGGATGGGTATGACGTCATGCGGTATCGCGTGAGTTCGGTAAAGTCTCGCGTGAGCCATGAAGCCCTTGATGGCCTGGAGGCCGACGTCCGTCCCGCCGAAAACGTGTCGGCCGCTGAAGTCGTCAAAGTAGACAGTCCTGGGGAAGTGGTTCTCCATGAAGTACTGTTTGGAGAAGTTGGGTCCGTACGTTATGGTATTGTTAAAGTAGTTCCCGTCTAGGGTGAAATCCAGGCGAAACCATTCGCGCAGGGGGAGCTTGAAGATCGACAACACCGCGTGCAGTTGTTGAGGAACCATTGCCACCTGCGGTCGATTGGATTAAAGACAATACACGTAGACGTTAGTAAGCATCAAACAATTGCTCAGATTATTAAAAAAAGGTTGAAATTCCTCGAAGAAGTTCATCAAATTATGCATGACCAAAAATTAAGAAAACGCCCAGAATTAATTTTTCTAATCACATGTCATCAGGGTGCGTATGTACATCAAAATCAGAGGATTAACTATTACTCTAAGAATTACTTCAATGCTAATATAATTGTCTAAAATCATACATGACGCAACTATGACATAAAGGTTTCGTGGTCTGACTAGATTTATCTGCAGCCCCTCGAATGTTTTTTTTTACCTCAGAATCAGTGACTACACAACGATGATATTTTGTACGAACCTGTACGAACAGGTGCCCCGTGTCGGTGACGAAGAGGACCGGAGTCAGGTAGAAGTCGTCCGTGCCCGCCTTGTGGTAGAGTCCGCACAGGTTCATACCACAGTACTTCTGCAGATACACCCACACGCTCAGCGTCCATCTGAAAGTACACAAAAATGCTTTTCAAAAACTCGCGTAGACTGTAGGGGTGTCATGGACACCATCTTAGCTGGTTAAACCTGGAAGAGTCCGACCTATGAATTTGCATGTGTCAACGCCATAGTCACGTGACTGTTATCAAATGTACTTGTAAGTGTCACTTGACAACCCTCAGGTTTAACCATCCAACATGGCGGCTGTGACGTCATAGTCACGTGAGTGAAAACACCTATAGGTCATGATGTTCATGCCCTTTAGGGAATAACAGCTCGGAATATAATGCAGTTAATATTACATGTCAGTCGAAGAAACGTTCATAAAAGTCATAACAAAGTGTTATGGTGCATGGCTTTGCTCTCTCCTAGCTACTTATAACTACAATGGTTTTAAACATTACAAATTGGTTTATGGCCTGAACGTTTATAGGTAGACTCCATGGGAGCGGGGGCGATGTTCCATCGTTGCTAGGTAGATGGGTAAAGCTTGATTAAATTTGATTACAGAACAGACAATTGGTTCTATTGTGCTTAGAAGACTTGCAGACGAACAGGTTTTGTTTCGATGGTTACATAATTTTCTAATTAGTGAAGCTCCACTACACAAATCAAACGTGGTACATTGTTTAGACCGGTACCAAACGAAAAATGCACTTCTCACAGAAAAATCCAGATATTCTTGATTTCACCCACAGCACGCACCCAGACGGCATATCCGGGTGTTGCAGTGTTATCTGACTTACGTCACAATGCAGTCCCTCCCGTTACAATATCGATCTGTCCAAAAGCTGTAGAGGCAACTTGTACGTACATGCCAGTTCAAGAGCTAAGTAAAGATACACTTTACAACCACGAAATGTATTAGTGATCACTTCGATTTGCATAAACATTAAATATTTCAAATAAAAGGCGCATTCTACAAACAAATAAAAACTAAAAAAATGAAATAATGTTAGAAACAGGTATACAGTTATTATTTCTTGCTCGTCCTAATATATTCCCTGTTTCTGCTAGCTGGTTGATCAACTCAGACTCAGTGAATGAGTATTTATAAGTGGTGAGAATTATGGGGGATTTCAACGTTTAAATCAACAGTTACAGTTTACAGAGCCTTTACATTGTTCATAAATTCCTCATCACATTACGACCTGACAAAACTTCATTCTAGATTATTTCAACCTCGTGTGAATGCTGCAACGTTAGATTAGTGAGGCGGTCCTAGCCTGTAATTAATAGAACAAACCGTTGGAGTTGCGTCAAAGAATGCAATGAAAGTTTATTTAAAGGCTCCTTTTTGTTAATTTTTACCAGCCCCGACGCGCCGCCGTTTATACAGAGGCAATAGATCAACCTAAACGTACGTGGGCGCAAACAGGTAATATTGGAAACCATACAGATGTGACAACTGTAGCTACATGTGTAGAAGTGGTCTCTGTTCAAAGGTCGTGGGCTTAAAACATTTGAAATATCGCAAAAATCGTGCGATTTCTTGTCATAGGGTTTTCTTCGAGGCTACGATACGATGGAACCGACCGCGACTTGTTTCAATCCCAAGACAGTGATTTTTTTACGACAACTTTTCAGTCACAAGGTCAAACTTGGTTGTACGACACTTGCATGACTGTCCTAAAATGTCGTTAACGTGTCGTGCGACGTGACGCCACATGTGTGACACTGAGGTTTGTTGTGCATGGTTACCGAGGCATGGGTCATTATCACCTCATCTCATCCGGTTCAAAGGAACGCAGCTGACGTCACACGCTCAACAAATACAAAATCTCTGCTAGTGGGGGGTGTCAACGTAGGGTTTTAGGTTAAATTTCAAGACTTTTGAAAAGATATACTCAGCCGAAATTAACGACCCATTAGTAGTTATGTATCAGAACTCCGACATAATTAACTTAAGTCTAGACCTACGATAATTCCAACTCAAATATATGCGCTAAAAATATACTATGCATTGCAATAGTGTGATGTAGGTCACTCATTACGCTATCATTTTATGTACATGTACTATTTGCAGGCAATTATAACTCAACCTCCTGAAGAAAAATAGCATTATAATTTGCATGCAAGAATTATCTAAAATTGTGACAAAAGTTTTGAATATATAGATTTGTAGAGATTTTGAGTAAATTTATAATACTAGTAGTTTTCACGGCTGTTGGTATGTTAAGTATATGTTGTCCGATTTGTAAAAAAAAAAAACTTACGTCGCTTTTGTGGCGATTTCTCCCATGTGTTTCCTCAGCGCCAGGTCCTTAAACTTCGGCAGTTCCTTGACGACCCCGCGTTTGTGTCCGCCGAAGGCCACGGGGAACGTGAAGAAGTCGACCACCTCAGGCTCCAGCGAACAGTTCGCTGACTTAAAGTCGTCTGCGTACCTGTCAATCATGTCTACGTCCCATCTCCAGCAGAGTTTATGGTCTTTGGGAGGTCTGGAGTAAGGCGGGACGGGTTTCATGGGATAGCTGACTTTTGCCAATGATCTAACGTAGTGGTTCATTTTGTATTGTGTCCATAGTGATTTGTCTATCAGCCAGACTCGCAGCTCCATTGAGGTTACAAAAACGGCCCTCCGGACCAAGCGGTCTTCCCTGTATAGAACGGTGTCGGGGAGGTCGACGTGTACCGTTCGGACTTTGGGGCGCCCCACCGTCTTTTCGCATTGCCACCTGAATTTGAAGATGTCCACGTTGTTTCTGACGAGCGAGCTAGCCCGAACGTCGAGACCCATGACTCGGTCTTTGCTGCAGCGGTATTCAACGGGCACGCTCAAACCCGGTTCAGCGGTGAAAAATTCCGGCGCGTTCAGCACACGTACGAAGTCTTGTTCTGCCAGGGACTTCTTGTCCACGACCATCGACATCTGTCGTGCGGCTGTCGTGTCTCGTCGTAGTTGCTGAGACGAGAAGTTCAATAGAGTGGCAAAGATTATCGTCCAAAACACGAGCGCCGCCATCTTGTTTTGACACGTCGTCCAACAGGTTGGCTGACGGACAGGCGCGCAGACGATCGATGTGCGGCCGGATTTTTTTCCGCGCGAGCGCCAACAGGTGACTCGGTCGCCCGGGGCAAAAACCACAAAGCAGACAAACCAGGAGAGCTTTCTAATAATCGCCCCAGCAAACAAAATTTCTCCACTGCTAAGGAATCCTAGAGCGAAGTTGCGTGGCCAGCGGCAAGACTGTAGAGCGGCGACAGTCTTAAGTAAACTTCCGGGTCTCCAGAGATTGTTCAAACGAATCTTTGAAGTCCAAACAGCAGAACGGAGTCAAGTCGTCCGAAACACTGCTGACGCAATTACAAGTCTTTCCACAAAAATTGTTTACGCTAAATTCTGACAGAAGTTTTTGTCGTTCGGTCTTGTGTGAGAAAACCAAGACCAAGTATAGCTCACCGGAATTCAAAACATAGGCCGAAAAACAAAAAGTATTCTCCTCACAAAAAACAGGACAAGCAAATTGTCGAGTCGCATCGTCCACTGCCTGAATGTTTCGTAAAACCCGGATTTGTGTAATGCCCGGGCCTACATCCCGGAACCAGGCTTGTAAGAGCAGGGGCCCCCCGACCCGTAACAGGTGGGACCGCCCCCATTGGTGGAGTACGTGCTTAAGTACGTGTCTGTTTGCAGTTGGGGACAGCGTCGGATTTGGGCAAATAACAAAGACCAATGTATGCAGTCTGTTTCTTTTAACCTTCTCCCTGCTGCCTAACTCTGTAACCAATAGAGAACTGGCAGTCAAATGCTACGTCCGTGTGTTGAAGGTTAAAGCCGGCTAGCATTAAGGTTTTTGGACACACACACATATAGGCGGATAGTTACGTAAGATATGAAATTTTCCCTGTTGAAATAATGTATATAAAGTAAATTTGATGTAAGATATTCGCATGCTATCTGGATATGTATGTATGTATGTGTTCTTATTGTACTTGTTTGTTCGAGGATTGTTAGACAATGTTTACGCTTCTAATCGTCTGAGAAACTGTAGGGCTCAGTGTACAGCGAACTAGGAAGAGGATCTTTAAACTCATAAGAAAATATACAAATGTATACGTTATTTCTATACGTCATGCAGATTGTTTGGGAAATTTCATCTATTGATGTTGCTATGTCGATTATTTACAGTACAAATGGTGCAAAACACAAAGGGTTGTTTTGTTGAAGACTAAAGGCATTTTTACTTATCAGAATGCAAACAACAGCAAATATTGGGGCATACAAGCGGAATGTAGTTCTATCGGTTAAGTGTCGACACTGGGAAAACAAATATTAAAATGTGACAAAAGGTCAATAATGTTTTTAATGTAAAAGTTAGTGCCAACAAGAAAAGGAATACAACTGCAGTTCTGTACAAATACTTCATACTTTATTTACGAGAAGTGGCAAAAATTCAAACTTACAGATATCAGTACACAAATACAAAAATGGAAGAACTGAAACACAAGCTGTTGTTGTTTTTCATAGAAAAAAGCCAGTTTTCACAATATCATTACAATTATTACCAGAAACATACACCAAAAATGTTTAATCATTTAATCACAACAACGAGTGAAGTGTAGGCTGTAGATTTTCAGGACCTTTTGTATGGACAGTCACAGCTCAGTAAGTCTCCACATCTCCCAGATACTGACAGATGTCATCATAGCTGACTTTCACGGTTTTCTCTCTGTCTGGGAGGAACTGGACTGTGGCTATGCAGTTCTTCTTGTCCTTCCCTATAACTTCTGCTTTCTGTAGACAAACAAAAATAAAATGTCGTCACATTATAAAGTAGTGGTTTTATGTTTACAGCTCTCAAAACTCATTACATACTGAACTTGTAATGTCTTGCAATGCATTGCTTCAGCTGTTCCAACTTCAGTCCCAAAACACAGCAAATACTGATCATTCCCCTCTTACTGCAAAATAAATTCAATTTACAGTACATGTAGTTCTAAATGCGACGTACTTCAATTTTCACTTCATAAGTAATGAAAAGCATAATGTGAAATTACATCCAAATCAGTTTACATCTAATTTCTAACTAATTGTGATCCCCCCCCCAAAAAAGTTTTGAATGTGAAATGGTCCAAAGAAAAAAGTCAGTTGTCCTTACCTGTCCTCTATACTTGCCCCCCACCACCAAGATGTATCCTGGTTCAGTCTTAGGGATGACAGTTTCCAACATGGACTGTTTCACACCTGCAAGACATACAGTCAACAATCATGTTAACTTGTACAGCTAAAGCTGAAAACCATATTACTTTCTTCCATCTAAAGTTGTGCTTTACAACTGGGATGTTCATAAATTTATTAGGAAGCTATTGTCCTTACCCTAGCAGTCTAGTCCCACTTTTTGCATTCCAGTCAATTTTTCCCTTTCTATACTTTAGTTAACTGATTTTTAACCTCATAAGTCAGAAGTATGTAGGAGCTTTTACCATCTATGACTCTCCCATCCTCAGTGACACAGGTACAGGTTTCAGCATCTGTTACATCATCTATAGCCACCTGGGGGGAATAGACATATATTCAGTATATCCATTTTTATATTTCATTAGTGCATACATAACATTAAGGGACATAAAGGTTAAAAAAATAAAACAGCTACATGTATAATTATATTTTCAAAGCAACAAGGGCTGCCATCAAGCCTCAGTATTGCTGTACAAGCACGTCTAACCCTCGGAAGTCAGGGAACAACAGACAATAAACTGGATAGTGAGTGAGTGCAAGCACATCATGTGGTGCTACAAAACACATCTATTTTACGAAAAGTAAAAACAATGTCAAAGGTACTAAATTCTAGAACTTTACCTAGACTCTGTGTCTACAAGGAAAATGGGAACTAGGAAAATATTTAACTTCTACCGGTAGTATAAATTATAATCAAATTTCTGGATTGCTAGATATCTAGATAGACAACAAACTGATGCAGGTTTCCTACCTTTGCATTGTAATATTTGCCATTTTTGTAGTGCTTGTCAATAACCCGAACTCTGAGCTGAGGTCTCATCCAACAGGCCTGCTGTATCGGTCTACTCTGACAGGGGGAGCTTCTGTGCTCCTTACTTGAAACAGATTCAAAACTGTCCTCTTTTCTTTTGCTCTTTGACTTGCTTTCTCTGCAGGGAGCATGAAAAGAACAGTTTGTTGAAATAAAATCTTGATTTTGGTCAAATTTGTAAGGTTCAAGTTTCATAAATGCAGAATAATCAATTTCTATGCCAAAATTTGAAACAAATCATTTGTAACACAGCAACACAAAAAAGGTTTCAAAGAATCACCTATAGTGGTCATCATCATGTTTTCTTTTTCTGTCCTCCTTTTCTCTGTCCCTTCTTCTGTCTTCCTTGTCTTTCCTTCTTTCATCTTTCCTGTCTTCTTTTCTTCTGTCACTCTCCCTGTCATCTCTCCTTCTGTCCTTCTCTCGGTGGTGTCTTTCCTCATCTTCTCTATCCCTGTGTCTCTCCTTCTTTCTGTCTTTTTCTCTGGATGAGTCCCCATTAACTTCTTTCTCTTCTGTTGAACAAATATCAGGAAACAGATACTGTAAGTCACTTTATATTTGCGCTAGCAAAAGTTCGCAGTCCAAGAAAAATGGACATGTTCGTTGACTATATATTTGCGGTGGCAGCAGGTACTGAAGTGCAGAAGAAAGAAAATCGGCCAACTATTTGCTCACGTTAATGATAAATTCACAGTACAGAAGTGACATAAAACACTAAAGTACCACAAATATAAAGTGATTTACAGTAATCTGATTACACTTATCTAATGATATTATTGATATGATTTTTAAAGAGGTAAAGGTAGTCCCATATCCACTGTGTCTAGGGCACAGTATTGGAAGGCAGAGTCCATCAACAGTTCCATTGTGTACCTACTACATAAAACATACATATTGACTTACTGATTTTGTGGCTGTTTTTCTTGTATTCCTCCTTGCTGACCACTTGCAGGGCGTTCTCACTGATGTCCACAGTTTGACTGCCCAAGGCCAGGGACACTACAGCTCTGGCCGTCTCTCCATTCAGACTTTCCACCTGTGAAAGGAATAACACATTCAGAATCAATGTCTGGATGTCTATGTGTTTTTGTGTGTTCATGTGTGTATGTGTGTTGCTTAGCTTCCCATACATGTCCGTGTGCGGCCAGTATGTCTACCTACATGTGTGTGTGTATAATGTGTACACATGTGCGCTTGTGTGTTCCTCACCTTCCCGTACCTGTGTGGCCCAGCCAGTATCAGTACAAGTATGTGTGTACATGTGTGTAGTACATATGTACATGTGTAGCTCACCTTCCCATACATGTCCCTGTGTGGCCCGGCCAGTATCAGTACATGTATGTGTGTACATGATGTGTACATGTGTTCCTCACCTTCCCGTACATGTCCCTGTGTGGCCCTGCCAGGATCAGTACGTGTGCCCCCGGCACCAGCCCCCCACTGTCCTCCTCCTTCCTCGTCTCCCCGGGTTTCAGCGGTCGCTGGTTCTTGTCGTCCGAGGGTCGGACCACCGCGCCCAGACCCAGGCCCTTGGGTCGCACCTGCAGCTGCAGGGGGTCCACGTGTCTGTGAAAAACAACCATTTTGTTACCAGGGTATTTAAAAAAATGTATCAGTATTGATACAATCACAACATGAGTATTGCATAAATAATGTTCACAATCAACTTCTTAAAATAACCCACTTTATCCATGAAATCCTTCTTTCAGCATACCTGCACTAACATTGGAAATTACCTGCACCAGACACATTTTACCTACACCACTCAGAATTTAGGAAGTGTCATTGTAAAGACAATTCTAAACTGTTCATATCATAGGTGATGGAAGTCAATCCAGCAAATAAAAATCCACATTAATCTCAGTAAAAAGTGTCATGCCATAATGGTACTTACTGTTTGAATGTTCTCCCTATGCCCTCTCCTGGTTTCCAGCCCATCCCCCGTAGTGCAGCCATACCGAAGGCTTCCACAGGCATGGCCTCATAGTCATCCAGACTGGCCTGGGGGGAGGAAAACACACATTGTATATCACAATATCAGGGTTTGAAATACTGTACCCTTTACAGTTCATCAACAGAATTTAAAAAATGTTCCTAGAAGCACCATTTTCAATTTTACTAATTTCTCTGTCATGTCTTTGACCAGAGCAGCTTAGGTGCATCAAAAATACCCACACAGTTCCAATTCTACCTGAACTTTTATATGTAGGTGGCATTTCGAGCCCTGTACATGTTTGTATAGCTTTTCAAGCTATAAATTTGAATCTTCTTCTTCGTTACTGCCCAGCACTACAGAGTAGTATTATTGGCAGTCGTTACGCATTGTTAGTAACAATTGTGCCCAGTACATAAAAAACAAAGGGAAAAACAAGGATAACTGAGAAAGGAACATAAGACAACTGGTTTTGTGTGTGCTAAAGACAGGACAAGTGAATCAGTGCGTTAGTAATATTTACATATATACAAGACATGATGGGGTGGCTCAATGCAGCAGGGTCCTTGCCAGTCCAGATTTGAACTGGGCGAGAGACCCCGCCTCCACCGCACCAGGTTCAAGTTCGTTCCATTCCCTGATGGTACGGGGGAAGAACGAGAGCCTGTAAAAGTTGTTTCTGCTCGCGATGGCCTGCAAATCTATCCTATATGTCTAACCATTTTATAATCAATCAGAACCAGGCATCCTTAACTGGAGGGCTATAAGCGAATGAATGATGACTGACCTCGTCAGGTCTGATGGACACGTCCAGTTTGCTGTCTGTCTCAAACCCCTCTGGAGGTTTGTTGAGTGACATCAGGGGCACCGTCAGGTCATCGTACTTCCGGTCGTTGCCCCTGTCCTCCCATTTCCCCATGGACCTGGCCGCCTCTGGGGAGAAAAATTGACATGAAGCGGTTCCATTTCTTGGGGAGCAAAATACCTTTTCTGCATACATGCACAGGTTTTGGTAACATTGGAAATTACCCGCACCAGACAAATTTTACCTGGACCACTCAGAATTTAGGAAGTATGGATTATATTTCATACACTTCATTTCTATTTCATAGGTAGTAACAACTAACAGTCACTAAAGCAAAGTAAGTGTTTTTCTACCTCCACGAGCAAATAAAAATCCACATATGCATATGGAACAGCCCAGTGTTGAGTGGGGTGACTGACCTTCCATGACCTCCCGTGCTGCCCGGCCGACCTCGTCGTCCCTCCCCTCCACCTCAGTGGACCGGTCCGGCTTGGCCAGCTTCTGCTCCAGTTTCTCTGCCAGGCTGGACTTCTTCACCCCATCCTGACCCTCCCCATCAGCGGATGGTACGTTCCACTGGTTCTCCCTTATGAGGGGAATGATCAGTTCCTTGGGCTCATCTTTGGGTTTCAAACTGAAAATTTGAAAATAAAAAAACAATTTCTCAAATAAAGCCTTTAACTAATAAGGTATACTAAAGATGGTGTACCTGGTGTACACTGTACAGTCAATCGTGGTTTGGATGGGTTTTCTTCGGGGCTGCAGGAGCTCTTCCCGACTCAGTAGGTTTTTTTACGAGGATGGTACCCAGGCTATCTTAAACATTGCCTCTCAGTTACATACTGTATATTCATTTATTCCATTGTAGAATTTCACATGTAATAGTTACCTGCTTACAGTTTAGCTGAAAATTAAACATTGATACATTTGAAGAGAGCTGCTACCCCTTCACAAAACCAAAGAGGTTTGACAACAAGGATCCTTTCCTTGACTATATCTCTTTGAATAAAGCAAAGTTTTCGTATAACGTTAACGGCCCGTTAGTAGTTTAGTGCCCATTCTAAAAAAATAAATTTCTCTCTCCTCCACACTATTAGTCTTGTCTCGAATCATTGTAACGCTAGCGTTATATTTTGTTATTTGCGCTGTACGGATAGTTTCGGATACGTAACTTTTGCAGGTACGCCGGTTGCCCCCCTCCCCCTTTTCTGACAAAGACCTTGCCCATTTTTATCCTCACCTTTTCACCGATTTCCCCTCTAGAGACACCACATAGTCCGTCTCTTCCTTCACGGTAGACTTTCCGTCGTCTAGAGCGGATTTCTGCTTCACTTTCGTCTCTATCTTCTTGGAGAATCCGAACGACACAGCTTTCTTCTCGTCAGCCATGATGCCGCGACCTTTCCGACGTCTGTGGAACGTTTGCTTCCGGTTGCTTCCGGTGCGTAGTGGGTGCAGTTAAGAGTGAATCAGTAGATGGCGCTATTGTGTAGTAAATTTTGAACAGTGACCGGCTATGGCTGCCAGTGGCTGTACCGTAGTGTACGGGTAAGGCCGCGAGTCTCTGCCACGCTTCAGGGGTGACTGGATAGAGAAACGAATTGTCCAAATAGACAGATAAAATACCAGGGGAGTTAGTCCACTAAAGGAGCACAGTTTGCTGCTCTAGTATGTTATTATATCTGTGTATTTGGTCAATTTTAACTCTCTTTTCGAGCCGCTACTGACGCCTGGTAGAGGCTCAGGTAAAGCTGATCGGGCAAGCATGATTTTTTATCAACATCATCAATATTAGTATTATTCAAATAACCAGTTTCAGACAATCAACACCACCATCATAAGAAAGGGTTGCTTTTTTACACGACATAACTAGTCAGCTAGGAAAGAAGGACGCACGTGCACCCAACGCGTACGATAGAGCCTGAACAAGAACGACAACTGGTAACGTTACCAGCGCCTAAGACGTTCTACACGAGTCCCTACCGAGAAAGTGCCAACTGAGGCTGAGGCTATTCTGACTGGTTTGACAGGTATGTTTTTGACGGTGGATAAAAATGTTAAAGATACAAATCTGTTGTGGTGACATTTAATATACCTTCACCTGGTTTAATTCTCCAAAAGCAGATTTTAAAAGCCGGAAAAAATGTTTTGGGACTGTTGGCAAAGCTAGATAGGAAAATTTAAAACAATCCTGCACGCGAACAGATCCGCTTGGAGACGAGTTGTGAAAAGGGAAGCAGGTGTACTGATTTGGCGACGGCATACTCCTGCGACCGAATCACGTTGACTATGTACGTTTCCGGGCTATAGACTGATTGAAACGTTTTAGAACTGTTGCTAAATACGATTTTTACTCTCATCAGGTTTCGGACAAGAAAGTCATAATTATTGTCACAGCTTATTCCTTTACCGGAGTCCTGTCTTATTTAGACAAGAGTTGTGAAGAAACACAGCCCTGTAATTACTGTAGATACTTTTGATATCTAGACAGATGGATTTTTTTAGAGAATTAATTTTCTTATCCTTCTGCTGATCTCTTATCTTTATATGGTGCAAACAGTCATAAAAACGTCTGTAAAACAGTAAACAACCTGAACATTAATATTTAAACAGACAGTTTCAGACAATCAACACAATCATACCACCAACCCCGCAGTTATTTAAAACTGTTTGTTTTACCAAGGACATTATATTATGTCGTCGGTTTTACACTATAAAGGAACAACCACGTAAGCAGGCATACTTCAAACACAGCAGCAAACAAGGGGACTAAAAGCAATTTTGCCTTAACGTTTATACTGTACAACCATTCGTATAGAACTTTCCCAATTTTTAAAGTTTCTGACTTTTAAGCCACACTGATTCAGTTTCATGGTTTAGCAAGAAGTCAAAAACGAAAACAATACCAATGTGCTGGGATGACAATTTGCTTCTGACTATATATTTTCTCTCCTGTGTAAAGCAAGGCCGTCCTCTTGGAACGCTCTTGTTGATTTTCTACTTTTAAGCACTTTCTTTTTAATTCTTGATCCAACACATAAAGTTGGTGTACGTATCCAGAACTCTAGGTCTATTACTGAATTGGTTAGGATCAGGTATGGATAATTCATGAAAAAATAAAATAAAATGGAGACAACGAATATGTGGTTTAACAGAAGAGCCTCTTTTTAGGTCACAGGCAAGACAATATGGGAAGAAAGCTGGTACACATGCTGATCTTCCTCATCATCATCCTGAAGGAACCCAACATGCCAGAGGCTTTCTGTAGGTGTGCACCATCATCGCGCTGCAGATGTGTCTACCGGGATCTCACTAGCATCCCGCAGGACCTCCCAACATCCATCTCCCATTTACTTTTGTCATATAACCATATTACAAGTGTAAATAGATCTGAGCTGTTACCGTATAGGAATTTGATTCTGTTGGATTTGGCAGAAAATCGCATCGGCTTTGTTGACAGTTTTCCTAATCTACTTCAGCTCCAAAACCTGAACTTAAAAAAGAACAAAATAACTGAAATTCACTCCGGCACGTTTTCAAATCTACCCCAGCTTCTAGAGCTGTCCCTGTCCACCAACCAGATATCAGAGATTTCGGTCGATGCATTTGCAAATCTACACTGGTTGAAAAAGTTGGACCTGTCCTCCAACCAGATCACAATTATTCAGTCTGATATTTTTGCAAATCTACAAGTGCTAAAAGAGTTGCTCCTAAACTTCAACAATATAACAATGATTCAGTCCGGCGCATTTGCAACTCTGACCCGGCTTGAAGTGTTGTGGCTATGCCAAAACCAGATAACAAAGATTCAGTTTGACACATTCGCAAATCTAACCAAACTCTACAAGTTGGACCTGTCCTATAACCAAATAAAAACGATTCAGACTGGTTCATTTGCAAATCTACGCTCGCTCGAATGGTTGTACCTACAGTCCAACGAGATAACAAAGATTGAGTTTGGTCTATTTGCAAATCTAACACAGCTAGAAGTGTTGTATCTGAATAACAACCAGATAACAATGATTGAGTCTGGTACATTTGTAAATTTACCTAGGCTCACAAGTTTGGAACTTCGATCCAACAAGATAAGAAACATTCAGCCCGGTACACTAGTACATCTCTCCCATCTCAAAGAAGTGTGGCTGTGCTCCAACCAGGTATCAGTCATTCAGTCTGTTATTTTCTCAAAGCTAATCTATCTCAGACAGTTGATGCTGCACCAGAACCAAATAACATTGATTCATACAGGCGCAGTTGAAAATCTACCCCGGCTAAGCGTAGTGTTCCTGCACTCTAACAATATAACAACGATTAAGTCTGGTGCATTTAGAAATCTTCCCAAGCTCGAGATAGTGATGCTTGGCTACAACCAGATAACAACCATTGAGTCTGGTGCATTTTCAAACCTATCCCAACTCTCAAATGTGGACCTTCGTTCGAACAGGATGATTGCTATTTCCCCTTTAGAATATGGCTGGTTGCCATCTATTCGTTTCATACAACTTGCCAATAACCCCTGGCACTGCGACTGCAGGATGGTTCCCTTCAGGCTAAACACGACCAAATTTCCTACATTTAAAGACCAGATAATATGTGCTCAACCCTCCAAATTCCAGGGAAAGAAGCTTGCAGATGTTAAACCTGAAGAACTGATATGTGACGAACCAACCATTTTTACATCGTCTGTTAATATCAAAGTAAGTTCTAATGGCTGTTACAATGGCGACGCCACCTATCGCCATCACTGGTACTTCACACGCAACGCTGACTCAACAGCAGGTCTTGTAGGCAAAACAAACAAACCAAAACCAAACACAACTTCACTC